AACTCATCCTAATCTTGGGTGGCCTGAGAGTGAGTAAAATTTTAAGCAAATGTTTCATTTTTGGGTTAAATTTTTCGAAAAATATTTTTTTTACAGTGTAATAAAAACAGCTGTTCATTGTTAGTCTATATTAGCTCAGGTCTATTAAATAATATTAACAGATACAACTTTTGATTATAATAAGGTAGTAGTAAATGTTAACATTAATTAAGATTAATGAATGTTTAAGAAGTATTTTAAGTGTTAGTTAATGTTAATGTTAATGTCAACGCAGTTAACTAATGGAACCTTATTGTAAAAAGTAAATTTTTTATTAATGTTGTGCATTTATGATGTGAATGATCCCAGTCAGGCATGATAAATGTTTAGGCTTTAGGCTACTAATAGAGTATGACTGGAGTCTTCAGTAGATTTGTCAAAATTAAAGTCTTAAAGTGTGTCCTTTATATGAACTGTCACATAAGGAATAAACTGTCCTAAAGGACAGAAAATCAGCATCTTGGAGCTCATTCACATTTTTGATCATTCCAATGTGGTGCATCAAGATTGGACATTGACAATCAGAGATACATGAGAACCAATGGCGTTTAGAGTTATTGATGTGCCATTTTTGAAAGTAAACGCAAGATTTTAGAGCTACAGCTGAGAGTATGATTTACAGTGAAAGAAAAACAGAAAGTCATGCAGGTAAATGAACAATTTTCCACTTCAGGGTGAACTATTCCTTTAGGATACATAAGCACCTCTTTTCTGTCCTCTTTGCAGTCACTTACTCTTTCTTCCCCTCGCTCTTTCCAGGTGGGTTGTTTATAAGAAACACAGATCAAGAATATACAGCTTTCCGGTTGGCCATATTTCTCCACAATACGAGTCCGAATGCCACTGAAGCCCCTTTCAATCTGGTTCCACACGTCGACAACATCGAGACGGCCAACAGCTTTGCTGTCACCAATGCCTGTGAGTGAAAATTGTCTAAAGTTATGTGAGACAAAGTCTAAAACTGAATCGAGTGTGTTTTGATTAGGTTCTTTTCATTGTTCAGAGTCACATTTGACTTAATGAAGAGTGAAAAACTGACGCTTTCAAAACATTGATCTGTTTGTTTGAGTGGTCGGACTTGTCAGATTCTGACTTAACCAATGGAGTGAGTTTGGGGGCGGGACTTTGTGTTTGATGACCAATTGCTGACGAGGTGGGGCATTGGGAGTGTCTCAGAAACCTGTTTGAAAACAGTCATTATTTTTGCTATTCTGTGTAGGGAAATGATACACTGCAGCTTTAACATATATTCAGTGTGTTTGGTGCATGCATATACCTCAACATTAACTTGACTTGGATGGATGAATGAATGAAAATGAAAAATGAACAGACGGACAAAATGAACAGGCAGAATGACAAAGATACAACGACAGAGATCGAATGAATGAACAAACAATAGAATAAAAAAAAGAAAGATATAATGAACGACAGTTCGACAAAATGAACAATAAAATGAAAGAGACAGAAAGATAGAGAGAGAGAGAGAGATAGAATGAACAATAGCATGAATGACAGAATGAATGATAGAATGAACAAATGATAGAACGGACATTAGAATGAACGAATGAACAATAGAATGAATGATAAAACAAATGTTAGAATGAATGCATGAAAAATAGAATGAGCGTTAGAATGAGCAAACAAAAATAGAACAAATTATAGAATGAACGACAGAAAAATAGAATGAACGATAGAATGAACAGACAAAAAATAGAATGAATGATAGAACTAACATTAGAATGAACGAAAAAAAAACAATGATAGAACGAACGTTAGAATTAACAAACTAATGATATAACAAACGTTAGAATGAACACACAAAATATAGAACAAATGACAGAACAAACGATAGAATGAATGATAGATGCAATGACCGAATGACAGAATGAATGAACAAATGAGAGACAGACAGATGATATAATGAACTATGACGTATAAACGAATGAACAAACGTTTATCTGTACATCCATCCGTCTGTCTGTCCGTCCGTCCGTCCGTCCGTCCGTCCGTCTTTCCATCTGTCCGTCTGTCCGTCTGTCCGTCCGTCCGTCTGTCTGTCCGTCTGTCCATCCGTCTGTCCTTCTATCTGTCCGTCCGTCCGTCCGTCCGTCTTTCCGTCTGTCCGTCCGTCCGTCTGTCTGTCCGTCCGTCCGTCTTTCCATCTGTCCGTCTGTCCGTCTGTCCGTCCGTCCGTCCGTCTGTCCGTCTGTCCATCCGTCTGTCCTTCTATCTGTCCGTCCGTCCGTCCGTCTTTCCGTCTGTCCGTCCGTCCGTCCGTCCGTCTGTCCGTCCGTCTTTCCGTCTGTCCGTCTGTCCATCTGTCCGTCCGTCCGTCTGTCCGTCCGTCTGTCCTTCTATCTGTCCGTCCGTCCGTCCGTCCGTCTTTCCGTCTTTCCGTCTGTCCGTCCGTCCGTCTGTCCGTCTTTCCGTCCGTCTGTCTGTCCGTCCGTCTGTCTGTCCGTCTGTCCGTCCGTCTGTCCTTCTATCTGTCCGTCCGTCCGTCTGTCCATCTTTCCGTCTGTCCGTCTGTCCGTCCGTCCGTCCGTCCGTCTGTCCTTCTATCTGTCCATCCGTCCGTTCGTCCGTCCGTCTTTCCGTCTTTCCGTCTGTCCGTCTGTCCGTCCGTCTTTCCGTCTTTCCGTCTGTCCATCTGTCCGTCCGTCCGTCTGTCCGTCCGTCTGTCCTTCTATCTGTCCGTCCGTCCATTCGTCCGTCCGTCTTTCCGTCTGTCCGTCTGTCCATCTGTCCGTCCGTCCGTCCGTCCATCTTTCCGTCTGTCCGTCTGTCCGTCTGTCCGTCCGTCCGTCCGTCCGTCCGTCCGTCTATCTATCGTATGCTAATATAATGTTGGGTTCATTTGAGGTGCTTCAGTCTAACTGGGTTAATCAGAGTTCAGTCCGCTCTGTCATTCACACACACACACACACACACACAGACACACACACACAGACACACACACACACACACGTTGGGTTTCCATGTTTTATGGGGACGCTCCATAGGCGTAATGGTTTTTATACTGTACAAACCGTATTTTCTATCACCCTACCCCTAAACCTACCCCTCACAGGAAACTTTCCGCATGTTTAGATTTTCAAACATTTTATTCTGTATGATTTAACAAGTTGTTTCCTCATGGGGACCAAAAAATGTCCCCACAAGGACAATTTCGGATTTTGCCATAACGTAGGGTTTACCAGGACCACACATACACACAGACACACGTGCGCCAGTCGCAGCAGAACTCATTTTAAATAAAATCAAGCTTCATGGTGCTTGTGAGGCTCTTTTGTCAGGGAATCATCATCATCATCTCAACAAGGCATCACAAACATCCAATAACACACACACACACACACACATGATCTCGAGCCGTGGGTTAAACTTCACGTCTGCTGAATCACACAGCCAGGAGCTTCAGTCTCTCACTGAATGATGTGTGTTTGCTCTCTAGTCGAGTGAGTAATGCATGAACCTGTCTGTGACCTGTGCTCTCTCTGTGTGTGTGTGTGTGTGTGTGTGTGTGTGTGTGTGTGTGTGTGTGTGTGTGTGTGTGTGTTCCAATAATCCACCACAACACACACACACACATACACACATGATCTCGAGCCGGGTGTGTGTGTGTGTGTGGGTTAAACTTCACGTCTGCTGAATCACACAGCCAGGAGCTTCAGTCTCTCACTGAATGATGTGTGTTTGCTCTCTAGTCGAGTGAGTAATGCATGAACCTGTCTGTGACCTGTGCTCTCTCTGTGTGTGTGTGTGTGTGTGTGTGTGTGTGTGTGTGTGTGTGTGTGTGTGTGTAAATGTTTATCTATGTGTTGCTGGATCTTGATGTCTTGAGAAGGTTCTGTGAATCTCTTTACTGACTCATTCATTTATTCACCCGCAGCGATTGTCTCAATGTTCCATCAGAACGTGTGTTTGTGTTTCTGTTATTCATAACAAAAAGTATAATTTATCATGAAGACAGACAGCACAAGCACATTTTACGTGCATACACTTGACAATAAAGGTAAAAATGATAAAACAGTAGATGCGTGGAAAATGTAACAAAAAATTGTTACATGTAACGCATTCATTTTAGTGGAATTTTTTTCCACCTATTTTAACTAGCCAAATTTCCAAAACACACGGTGACATAAACAGTCTTTGATTATTTTCCTGAATTAGAAAATCTAAGTTAAATTCTGAGAAACATAAATGATTAATTCACCTCCTGAGAAGCAAGTCATTTATATGACAGACACAAAATTAATGAATCATTCATGAATGAAGTCCACAAAAAAATCACAAAAAAGCAGCTCCATTCAGTTCAATTAAACTACAGAATGATCTAAAATGCATGTCCATTCTTTTTAAAGTTTTTGTTCTCTTATAATGTTTTATACTACATCATTTGATTTATAACCACATAAAAATGGATTCAAACTGTGACAAAAAATGAATTGAAACCAGTGTTGTTAATCTTAAGTAAAAAAAATTTTGGTAATTGAAATAAAGGTGAAATCAAATAAAATACAAATATTAGATACCTTAATAAACAAACAAAAATTATAATTTTTGCCATGGCAACTAACTCAATTTAATAAGTTTTAGTTAAAGCATTTAAATGACTAAATCTAAAACTGAAATAAAAAAATAGAGCTACAAAGAAATATTTTTTAAAAGGTATTAACATTTTTCTTTTCAGTAAATGAAATAGAGCTTAAATTAAATATAAATATTACATGAAAAACACGACCTTAAAAAAATCATAAAATAAAAATAGAAATGGTAACTAACTGAAATAAATAAATTTAAGTTTAAGTACTAAAATTAAAAACCTAAAAATGACATAAAAATAAGCTAAAGCTATGAATAAATATTTGTAAAAACTAAAATCTTTTTTGGTATTTGGTAATTGATAATTGATACAAAGCTTAAATTAAATGAAATATAAATATTGGATGAGAAACACAAATAAAAAAAATAAAAAAATTTAGAACTGTTGCCTTGGCAACTAAATTAAATCAATAAGTATCATTTATATGACAGACACAAAATTAATGAATCATTCATGAATGAAGTCCACAAAAAAATCACAAAAAAGCAGCTCCATTCAGTTCAATTAAACTACAGAATGATCTAAAATGCATGTCCATTCTTTTTAAAGTTTTTGTTCTCTTATAATGTTTTATACTACATCATTTGATTTATAACCACATAAAAATGGATTCAAACTGTGACAAAAAATGAATTGAAACCAGTGTTGTTAATCTTAAGTAAAAAAAAATTTTGGTAATTGAAATAAAGGTGAAATCAAATAAAATACAAATATTAGATACCTTAATAAACAAACAAAAAATATAATTTTTGCCATGGCAACTAACTCAATTTAATAAGTTTTAGTTAAAGCATTTAAATGACTAAATCTAAAACTGAAATAAAAAAATAGAGCTACAAAGAAATATTTTTTAAAAGGTATTAACATTTTTCTTTTCAGTAAATGAAATAGAGCTTAAATTAAATATAAATATTACATGAAAAACACGACCTTAAAAAAAATCATAAAATAAAAATAGAAATGGTAGCTAACTGAAATAAATAAATTTAAGTTTAAGTACTAAAATTAAAAACCTAAAAATGACATAAAAATAAGCTAAAGCTATGAATAAATATTTGTAAAAACTAAAATCTTTTTTGGTATTTGGTAATTGATAATTGATACAAAGCTTAAATTAAATGAAATATAAATATTGGATGAGAAACACAAATAAAAAAAATAAAAAAATTTAGAACTGTTGCCTTGGCAACTAAATTAAATCAATAAGTATAAGTTGAAGGATTAACATTACTAAAACTAAAACGTTATAAACGTTTTTTAAATTGAAATAATGCTTAAATAAAATAAAATATAAATATTGGATGAAAACGCA